GCATCTGTATTTGTATATATGTTCAAAAGGCAGTCCGGACACTGAGTGCAAACGTCAGACGGTCTCGAGTGTAGGACAGCGCGTGGCATACTGACTGATTCTCAGCGTTTTGTCGCTTCGCGCGGACACATCGATTATGGTTTGACGTGTCTATTTAAAAATCCGAACCGGATATCTTCGTATTCGAAAAGCTCGCTAATACATATACTCCTCTTTGCCCTCCATTTCCAGAATCTGGTGATTTTGTCCACGACACGGCGCGCAAATGACCAACGGGTGCGACGATGTCACCACTAGACTCAAACAACATTGACTCCTTCCCACAATCACTAACCCAGACATCACACGACAATCACAACCAAGACACACGCAGCAATCACAACTAAAGACACTCCGCACAATCACACACCCGGAGAATCACTCTGCACAACTCTACCAACCACCGATGAACTCAGCGCCAATCGACAACCGAGATTCACACGCGCAATACAACTGAGAAGTCGACGCCACGAAGTCACAAACCCGAGACTCGACGCACATCAGCAACGTGAGACTCAGCGCGCACAATCACGACCGAGGGGATCACGCACCAATCACGAATCCAAGACTCACGCGACACAATCACAACCCGAGACTCACGCACAATCACAACCCGAGACTCACGCACAATCACAACCCGAGACTCACACACAATCACAACACGCACGAATCATCTCAGCAATCAGCACGCGAGGACGCTACGCACCTAATCACAATCCCAAGACATCACGACACCAATCACAACCCCTCCCGGCTCAATGATCGCCAAACACCGACACAACCACCTCGACGGAAACTCGCGCGCAGCCGCAGCAGAAGGAATCGGCGGTGACCTTCCGGGCGACAACACGGGCTAGTTCTATCGCGGACAAGTATCGAGGCGCCGCGGATTAACTCCGACCCCCGAGAGCATCAACTTCTTCCTCAGCGCATCTTCCGGGTGTTGTAGAATTAAATCAGTGCAGGCGTAATCCCGAAAGCTGTTCAATTCCGCTACTGAATGCAATCGACTACTGCCAGAGTGGCGCTCGATGTTACTCGATAATCGCACTACAAGTAATTAATGTGCGTCGCGCTATCGTGGACGTGCGAATAGGAGGCAGTCGCTCAGCATGGGATTTAGCGGATGGGAAAAACTCGCGGCGGGGTGATGCGAATTCATACTAACCGATCTACGAGTTGTAGTTTCCGTTAGGTTTTCGATTCCGGATTTTGATTGCCGCGAATCAGGATGAGGGCTTCCTCTTGTCTGTCGTACCTGTCTTGTCGCGTTCGCACTATCTCCCTGCGCTTAGATGTTCTGAAATCTGTCGTCGGTACTTCTGTCTCACTCGGTTAAAATTTATCCGTAAGCGATAGCATGAGATCAACAGAGTATACGAGGTACAGGGAGAAACAGAGTATACTTGAGTACATGAGACAACAGAGTATGAGTACATGAGACAAAGAAGTTATATGAAGTACATGAGACAACAGAGTATATAGTACCATGAGAACAGGACAGAGTTATGATGTACATGAGACAAACGGTATATGAGTACATGAGACACAGAGTATACGGTACTATGAGACAGCCAGAAGTATTTGGTACATGAGGGACAAAGGTATGAGTACATGAGACAACAGAGTATACAAGTACATGAGACAACAGAGTATAGTACATGAGACAACAGAGTATACGAGTACATGAGACAACAGAGGTATATAAGTACATGGAGGACAACAGAGTATGAGTACATGATGACAACAGAGTCATGAGTACCATGAGATCAACATGAGTGATGAGTACATGAGACACAGCAGTATGAGTACATGAGACAACAGAGTATGAGTACATGAGAACACATTAGAGTATGAGTACAGCAAGCGGATAGCAATGAGACAACTGAGTGCATTCGGTCGAGACCTAAGCTCTTAAAATTTAATTATAGGATCGGAGCATGAAACATTATGATAATTAACAGGCTTAGTTGATTATAATAAAACATTAATAAAAACATAACTTAGATTATGAATAGCATTAGGAATGCCAGACGAGGAACACACTGGTGTAAATATTTGCTATGGCTCTCTTACCAAGTAACATACCTGAGAGAATTATACAAAGCTTCAACAAGGACATGCTACTATGATTAACCTTCTACAAGATGGCTTCATCAAAGATTTTACATGTGATTTAATTACTTGCCAAGATTCAAAACTACTTCAGTTGTATGTGTGTGTGTGCGTGCGTGCGTGTGCGTGCGTGTGCGTACGTGTATATGCATACGTACCTGGTCACCTGGTTTTCCGTAGAGAATTTCAATGTCTTACATTTGGTGTCGAGCTCACACCTGCGCTCCGCCAGTTCAGCAATCTTACTTCTAGCATCTTCCTTCAGCATCTGCAGGTGGCTTTGCGTGTGGTCTTGGCAGGTGAAACGAACGACCACCTCCTGCCAACACGTATTCCAATGCAAATTGTCAAGGATACAGTCAGGGTTACGGACAGGTAGGGGGACACTGTAAAGGGCATTACAACACAACTGCTCATTAAATCCAAACAAGTGCCGCAGAGCGACAGCGCTCAACTGACGTGTTGTGTGTGTGCGTGTGTGTGTGTTTCTGTGTCTGTGACTGCGCGTAGCAGCAGCAGCAGCAGCAGCAGCAGCGACCGTGTTCGTGTGTGTTTGTGTTTGCGGGCACGTGACGGGCCGCCGGGCCCTCCATGCGTGACGCCGGTAGCTGGCAGACCCTCACACACTCACACACACTCACTCACTCACACTCACTCATACGGACACAGCATAGTCTCACTCAGTGTACCAACACAGCTACTACACAGCGGTTGCCGCTACGCTAGCACCGCGTTTCCACTTCTTCGCATAACCACAGGAGATCTCGGGCTCCCGCGACAGGATACCTATATACGAACTCGTTCCGAGTTTTGTTTACGAGTGTGCTGCAACAACAAGAAGTAGTGTGTGCGTGTGTTGTTGTTTTTTTGTGTGGGGTTTCGTGTTCCGATATACCGTGCACCGCGTGGAAAAGATATACGCGCGAAGATAACGATAGAACCCGGATCGTGCGTGCGTGCGTGCGTGCGTGTACGCATCAGCGTAGCACCTGTGTTTAGTGTCTGTTTCTCGCGTGCGTGCGTGCGTGCGTGCGTGCGCGCTGTGGTTGTATCTCTCACCTGCGTGGGGTGGGAGCACTCGAGTGTTTTCTCGCTGAAACACACACCTGTGCGTGCGTGCGTGCGTGCGAGTGCGTGCGTACGTGCACGAAGTACCGTTAACGCTAGCGGACACCTGGACACCTAATCTTTTCGAAGGAGCCCCTTACCTGGAGGAACTCATAGCGGCTGATAAGGTATGTAGATATATATACATATACATGTGCGGAGGGCTAGGGAGTTAAGGAGGGAGGGAGGAAAGGAGGGAGGGAGGAAGGGAGGGAGGGAGGAAGGGAGGGAGGCGGGACTTTGGGAGGGGTTACACGCCCCGCACAGCGAAGGCAGCGATCAAGGTGCGCGGGGAGGAGGGACGGAGGGATGGAGGAAGAGAGGGAGAGAGCAGGGAGGGAAGGAGGGAAGGTGGAAGGGAGGGAGGAGGGAGGGAGAGAGGGTGGGAAGGAGGGAGGATACCACGTGCCTGTACACATTCAGGATGCACATCGTATCTGCTCAGATATCATCATTAACAAGAAGCATTGTTAAGATTAAGAGAGTAAATCGCCAGAATTTAGAGTCGAATTGTTTCCCAAAGCCATCTCACATGCTATTGAAAAAAACATCTTTGCTCTTCACACCTCTCAGTAACCTCATTTCCTCTAGTGTGAGATCGTTTTACTTACAATAGTAACTGTTGTATAACAGATGTTGCACGTACGTTTGCCACCTGGAGCATCAGTTCTTCAGTCAGGGAGGCAATCAAGCTAGCATACCCAAGCTGCAGCACAGTCGTGGCACTAGTGACCCTGCCGAGTGTGGGTGAGTGGTGGTAGCAAGAGCTAGCAAACTAAATATATAGTGTAATTGTTTGGCATGTGGGAGGGGAGGTTTAGGAGCCGATATCTCCGCCTAGGAGTATCGTATTGACAAGCGGTTGGTCTTGTTTTAGAGAGCAAAGAATTCTGCTTAATGCAATGCCATGAAATTATTATAGACTCGCAGGCAAAGTAGAATAATGTTGTCGTGAAATAGCACTATTTTCCCGTTTTTCCGTTGTACACTCTAGGTATTATTAGCTCTTGATGAAATGAGTAACATTATTTTGACAACAAGTAAAATTTTGATAGGTATAACAATCATGCCTTTTTTGTTTAGGAATTGAACATGGCCCCCAACTTACAGCCATCGCACCAGCCAGATGCTCACGCAAATTCTTGACCTGCTGTCTCAGTAATGCAATTTGTTCCTTATTCCGCCGAGTCGTGATTTGGGCAGACTCATACATTGCCTTTCTTCCTCCATCTGAGATTTAAAGAAACATGTATAATATTATAATCGTTCTGTGACTGTCTGCATAAGGTGGCTATAAGCACTGCCATTACCAGATAATAATCAACTCTAACCACAACAAAGCTATACGCTGTGTGGCTTCTGACCCTCCCCAATTCCAATGTTCCGGCATATGATATATTTTATCACATGAGGCTCTAGCTTTATTACACTTACACCACACGGAAGCGATGTACACCGTTGCACTATTTCGTCTCTAGGAAAAATATTTTTTGACGTTTTTTTTTCGCCGAAATTCAGTACTAGAGTGCAATAATTTGAATTATGCACGCAAGTTAGATGCCTCGTGGACGTCTAGAAAGCATTAGAAGTAAAATTCCGCTTCGCTCTTAATATAGACTTATACTTTTTCGAAACTTGAGCCTCCAAGGGCCTGTGGTCAGACTCAACCACCGGTTCAAGGATAGAGAACATGTATCCCAATAAAACCAATGTCATTTACATCAATATAAATATAATATTATATCAATATAATAGGTTAGGGTTATGGTTAGGGTTAGGATTAGGGTTAGGGTTAGGGTTAGGGTTAGAATTAGGGTTAGAATTAGGGTTAGGGTTAGGGTTAGGCACATTGGTTTTATCCTCCTATTGGTTCTCTATCCTTGGGCCCAACCACCTGACCTGGCACCTCACCTAAAAGTTGAAGCTTTCGCTGCAGTTCTACACACTGTTCCTGGATAGATGTCCGTGCACATGGCGTGGTTTTAGCGTAGCTACTTCCAGCAGGCATCTTTCTGCTTAATAAGAAACTCTAATTCGTTGAAAGTAATGAGTTTTACGAAGAGTAGACTGAGTACAGTTTATGTTTTCCTCACGGCTAAGATTACAATTTACAAACCTCCTGTTGGCATGGCAACAAGAACTGACCAATAGTAAATCAATGTAGAACTTAGCATTGCATAGATGGCAGCACTAGCTGTTCGATGAAAACAGTGCATGTAAGACTTCACAGCCATATGGTAAACACAGATGTTTTTGGCGTTTTGACTCGTATACGTGATAATATTACGCTAGACCCTGCACGGAAAGATATGAAGTTTATTACATATCACGTTATTATTTTCTATAGCGCCATAAATTGAGGTTTAGCTGTATCCGGTTTTAGTTATGATGCCCGACGATTGAGGTGTTGTTGCCAACAACAAATCGAGCACAGGTCTAACAGTAACAGTAACACATTACAGTGGGCTTAGGTTTACGTCTATCGTACCGCTGTAGCGTTGTTAGACACCATACCATACTTTGTCACAACCATCCTTAGAGTAGAGTCTTAGAACTTTCGCGTGAAAGACACTAGAGCTAGTACTATTAAAATTATTAAATTATTAGATTTATAAAATTATTAAGTGGCCTGCGGCAACTGTACAGTGTACGAGCGCTATAGTACTACTACTAGAGCTATACCGACTATAGCTCTAGAACTAGCCCTCCGCTCCGCTCCTCCGCCCTGCGGTGGAGCGGAGGGCTATATAGTTCTAGAGTTATACCGACTAGGGTGTTTCACTGTTTGTTCGTGTGGAGCATAATACAATCATACAATATATGCATATATACAATAATACAGATCCAGTGGGCAGTAGTAATTCGGCACGTTTGTTTGGGCAAATTATTTATCCCGATCACGAATTGGGTTCGAAGGGGATCCAATATTGTGGCATGTATGCGATTCGGCCAAACACTGCTTGCTGTAGCTCTAGAGCTACATAGCCCTTTGCTCTGCCACAGGGTTATATAGTATAGCACAAACTATGTTGAAACTGGGAAATGGAACTGCTCCTACTGCTACCACAAATAAACGGCTGACAGAACACAAAATTATCGAGCTTTTTAACACTTATTTATCTACATGGACCTCTTACATATTTTTTTGAACACTTCACAACTTTACACCATGCATTTATTCATTTATTCTTCAAAATTAGCACTACTTGCAAATTCCGTTCAAATGATCGCGAGGGTACCGTCATCCGAAATGTAGACAAAACCATATGGGGGCAGTCCATTACTTATGCATGGGGTAAACTGGTACTTTTCTAATCATAAACATGTTGCTTAGCAACCTTGTAAATCAGTGCCAGTGCTATACCCACACCCCCATGAGTAATGGGCTGCTCTCGTTTTTTCTGTGATCCGTTCCTCGTGAGAGCAGTATCGTTGCCCAGCTTCAACATAGTTTGTGCTATATAGCCCTGTGGCCGAGCAAAGGGCTATAGTTCTAGAGCTGTGCTTGTTGCTACTATAGTAACTATGGCCTGTTGTGAACCAAAATAAAATAGAATGATTCTTGCAGAACTCCGGCTAGGACAGTTGCAAACAGTGGCAGGATGGAAAGACTAATGGTACAGCTCTCTAAAGAAGCCTCTGGTAATAAATGGAGTTATATACGTAAAGCTTGCGAAGAAGCACTGGGTAAGAGCAACTGGTAACCAGTAAGAAATTACTAGTGCAATTAACTATTCATCAATATACTAAATATATATATTCTATACCATATATATTATATTTATTTATTAAATATTATATTAAATATATAAAATATTTTATATTAAAATATTAAAAATATTAAAATATTATAAATAAATATATTATATTAAATATATATTATTAATTTATTAAATATATATTTATTCTATACCATATATGGTACTTATGTGTGGGTTTAGATATAATTATATAACCGGATCTCTAGATATACAATGAATATTAGCAAGGTAGGCACATTTTTAGTATTTTAATGCTTGCATCATATAATGAGTGCATATAGTAATGTCATGTAATAAATGAAAATGACTTCTAACCTTGGATTTTTCTCAAGTATGCTTGCTATTATCAGAGGTATTTTATGCAGAGATGTATTTGAGTTTACCCATAACTGTTGATATTCGTAAATATTTTCAGAATATTTGAGGTCAGCTGAGGTGCGTACAGATGTTCCCCGCCACCAGATAAGGTATAAACTGTATATATCAAGAATACTATTACCCAGTAGGACACATATAACATATATATTAAAGATATTTAATATAACCCGGAATATATTAAAAATGTATTTGATCTTCGTACATATGAACTTCTCAGAATGAAACTGATCTTAATTCTTATTAAATTTTGCGATATATTCATAGATCTTGATAATACTAGTTGTTACTATAGTATATTACGGTCCTACTACGATATGCTATCCGAATTCATATGATGTCATTGTATACTCAGTAGTACATATACATTATTGAACAGTTCGCTTAAGCGTAGAATAAGAACATGTTGAAAGTTTACTGCTGCAGATGTCATTTGTACGGTTGTGACGCATTCTCGTATGTGTTAATTTCAGGGCCCTCTGTCTGACAGCGTTGCAGCTGTCACTAGAATCGAGGAGCACAAAACTGACGCACCTTGCTATCACCGGATTCCAGGTAGAAACGCGCAATAATTATAAAATGGAATAATACGGGCGGAAGAAACGTTCCTCGCGAGATATTCGACGCCGTGCACGCGTGGGTTTTTAATAAATGGGTTTTTGTCTGTGAGCATCTATCAACGTATTCTGACTATGCAGTTGAATCCGTGTGTTAGCAGCCACCTCCACAGAATGGCCACCTGTTCATAAAGGCCGATTGCCATATTCCTTAGTGGGGCGGTTACAGAGAGCGAAACCACCTGAATGTAGAATGACGACCGGACCACAAAGGTCACTAATTCCCTTCCGTCGCTGTCGCGTAGAGTTTCGACTCTCGTATGCCGTGTACGTTCACGCGCGTTGCGAAAACGCCGCGCCCATACCCAGCGTACTTCGTCTTGCTCCAGAAACTTCCGTCGTCTTCACGTACAGTTTTGACCCTCGTGTGTCGCGTACGTACACGCGCATCGCAAAAACCCCACGCCCACAGCAGCATTGTCACCGTCGCGTACAGTTTCGACCCTCATACGCCGTGTACGTACACGAGCATCGCAAAAACGCCGCGCCCACACCAGCGTATGCCGTATCTCTCCAAGAAACTTCCGTAGCCGTCGTATACAGTTTCGACCCTCATACGCCGGGTACGTCTCGCTGCAGAAACTTCTGTCGCCTTCGGGTACAGTTTCGACCTTCGTGCATCGCGTATAGGTAACGCGCATCGCGAAAACGCAGCGCCCACAGTAGCGTCGTCTCGCTCCAGAAACTTCCGTGGCCATCGCGTACGGTTTTGATCCTCATACACCGCGTACGTCGCGAAAACGCACACCTACAGCATAACGTCTCGCTTCAGAAACTTTCGTAGCCTTCACATACAGTTTCGACCCTCTTGCGCCGCGCACGCCGCGAAAATGCAGCGCCAACACCAGCATACGTCATCTCCAGGGTAAAAAATACAAGGGAGCGATGAGCGATTCGCTTTTCAAACCTCCGAAATCGCTCCCGTAAGGCTCAAAATAGCTCCCGTAAAAATTTTTGACGAGAGCTATTTTTCCCACAGACTTTTGAAAAATAGCTCCCGTGAAAAAAAACGTAATTTTTTCCCTGGTCGTCTCTCTCCAGAAACTTCTCGATGACCCGATCGCCGAGGCGCAGCGTACGACGACCGCCGACGAGCTGCAGGCCGACTGGCTGCCGATGCAGGTGATGCGCGCGGTCTCGCCGACGCACTCGCTCCCCGAAGACGTGCAGACAGACGTGCTGAAGCTCCTGCTGAACATCGTCTGCTCGACGGCGTGGGGCGGCGTCGCCGTCGTCGTCTGCCGCGTCGTCGACGTCTGCATCGACTCGTTCGCGAACTCGTCGCAGGCCGGCATGAAGACGGTCGCCAAGGCGACGGTCTACCAGACGGTCGCCTCGTTCTGCCAGCGCGAGGCGGAGAGCCGTGCCGCGGCACGCGACGCAGGAGAGGCGGCGGCGGAGCAGGACGCGGACGCTGCCGGTAGCGGCGGAGGCAGCGGCAGAGGAGGAGGCAGAGGTGCAGGATTCGAGGGAGCGATCGAGGTGCTGACGTTCTTCTGTGCGAAGCTGGGGTACGCGCGCGGCAGCGGCAACCTGAACGCGTACGTGCCGCTGCTGCTGGAGGGAGTGCTGGCGATGCTGAGCAACGTACCGCGCGACATACAGGCCTGCGACGACTTCATCAACCTCGTGTGGTAAGTCGAAGACAATGGAGAGGTGTATTATATGCTAGGCATCTACCCCCGCTACTGTAGGTGTAAACCTCTTTCGGTGAGTCGGTCGTGTGTACTGTTGTTTTATTTTGGGGCGGGATATATATCCTTGGCATATCTTTCGGTGAGTCGGTTGTGTGTACTGTT